GGCCCTTCCAGCGGATGTAGACATAGAGAAACACAGCCAATGAATACTGGGAAATGGTGTTTGCAGCAGCAGATCCACTGTTAGTAAGAAAGAAGGACTCCATGGAGTCATTTGGACCTTGAATTATTTTACTTTCAAACAAATAACAAAAAACTAAAGGTGTGTCCCAATTTGCATACTTATGCACTTTATGCCATTTTGTAGTATAAATAGTGCAAGTAGTGTTTTCAGACCGAGCCGAACCGTCATAGTTTTCCTTACACTGTGTCTATCAGACTCCAAAGCATTACAAAGCATCCAAAATTGAATTTTTAACTTCACATATTGGACGGTAGAGTACATTGTGCATAGTAAGTGCAAAGCGTATAGTACTGGATGTAATTTGGAACACAACATAAGATCCTATGAAATGTGATAAACAGAATCTAGACAGCTTCTTACGGCACACCGAGATCAAGCAGATGAAGGAAGATGTAGTTTATTAAAGCGTTGAGGATGTTCCCTGCTACTCCCGTGAGGACCTGAGGCCAAATAATACCCTAAACAAATATATGATCAAAATCAGACCCTTGTATATGCGATTTTTGAACAGTAATAATAATGGAGACACAATGCTTGGGTTTACCTGATTTTGAAGATACCTTCCCTGCAGCTGATACATAAAGGCAGCCTGAAAATGTATATTTTTTGAAGTTATTACATAGAATAGTTCTTTTTACTGTATAGTGAATACATTTCATGTTTAATATGTCACTCACAGGCAAAGCAGGCATGAATATTTTTACATACAGTTGTGACAGACTGTTGAGAGAGAGAGAGAGAGAGAAAAAAAGTTATATATATATAGAGAGAGAGGGGTGGGGGCAAACAATGACACACAGTTAAAAGAACTCCACAGACACTGGCTTTAGGTCCATGTGACTGCCACATGTCCAAATGATATGGCATAATATTATTTCACAATACTTATATAATTGATCCTACTTGTATGTTCACTTGCATTCACAATATGTTGACAACAGACTTTATCAGCACATCACTCAGGTAAGTTTTGCTAAACAGAACCATAACTTAATGTGTGTTGTTGAATGTGTCAGACCTGGCCACAGCGGGACTCTGACGGACAGCCAGCAAGATCGGCTCTGTGTTGATGAGAAGAGCCCAGCAGGGGAAACAGGCCAGCAGGAGGATGAGGATCCCTCTCTGCAGTATCACACCCACCCGCTTCAGATTTTTACCCCCAAACGTCTGCAGGACACAATTCCCTTCAAATGACATCTGAGCACAAGTGACACTCAAAATACTGAACATTGACGATCATACCTGAGAGATGAGAGTATCGCATGCAGACGCCAATCCAGATCCGATGGAGATGCCAGTCACATTAATAACCTGTGAGCAAAAATGACGTATTTATAAAGATGATGGGTGTTTTAATAAATGATGTAAATAATAAAGTAATTTTGTGAACTCACAGCAATAGCCAGAGCCACGCCGGCCAGTTCAGTTTTCCCCAAGTGTCCACAGAACACAGTGCTGATGAAGCTGATCAGAAAGATCATCAGTTGAGATATAAACTGCAAAAAAGGGGAAACGAGACATTTTCTACTTTTTCAGTTTTGTAAATATTGTATCTTTATGAGTCAAACCTGACCAAAGAACTAAGAAGTTGACAATGAATTATATTTCAGATCTTTCTGCAAAACATATTAAGAGACATTCAACTACGTTATGGTGCAACTTCCAATTTCTCAGGAGTCTCAGAAAGTGTGTCAATAATTAAAGGTCAAACATCCCCCATCAACCAGAAAATAAAGTTTATTTTCAATATTCATATTCATGTGTTCATGTTCTGAACAAAATCAAAGGTGTCCGTTATTCTTTTTCTCTTGTCAATCAACAGTGAGCATGATATTTGGTTATGATTGCTATAAGCAAAGTTTAAAATGCTTCATAAATCCATTCATAACTTACCACGGGTCCTGCCAGTTTTAGCAGCTCTACAATTTCTTCTTTATAATTCACTGGTAACAAACTCCGAAGTTTCTTTCGACACCCTCCACACACAACCTGTGTACTCGACGTTGACTGAGCATCATCACTTTTCTCCTGTTGTGAGTCTCCGTTTATCTGAGTCACTGTGGTAAAACTGTCCATTTTCGCTATTCCTGAAGTCTTTAATTCCCACAGTGCAGCTTATATTTAGTTAGAGTACTGAACTACATCTGCGTAAAAGGTTTCACTAAAGGTCCATTGCAGGGAGACGTCTGGGTGGATATCTAAGTGAGACATTAGTAAACTATCTGGTAGTAAGTTTAGCCCTGCCTGCTGCTGCTGTACTCCACGAGGTCATTACATAAACAGAAGTGACTTTGTGCTCGGGTCAGGTTTCATTAAAGGAACCCCAGCATTCAAGCAGATAAGTCAATGGAGACTAAATGAGCTGTGGAACTTTACTCATATCTTTTTTAATGTAGGCTACTGTAAAGTAGTCTCTCCCATTCACTTTCAATGGTCGCCCATTGTGACAATTTTTGACCATGCCTACTCTCAGATAAATGAGGCCCACGATTAATGAGATGCAAACAGAAATATAAAACCAGTCCTGATTGAAAGAGAACAAGTTGACAAAAAGATTGAATCCAAGATTGGGTGGAAACATGGTATAATGAGTGATTTATAAGCTATTTTTTATAGACCGGTCATTTTTGACCGGGAACACCACAAGTGTAACAAGGTAACAAACCCCCCCTATAACTTAACTATAAAAAAGTTATACATTTATTATATAGTTATACCATTTGGGAACAAAGTCACTAAGTTTCAGTCCAAAGCAATAACATTAACTAGTATTTTCAGGAAAAAGAAAATCTTCTCCGGGTCAAATTGACCTGAACACCACATGAGGGTTAAACCATGCTAGAACATTTTAAAACTTTCTGGCTATGCTTTTTCAAGCCAACTTAAAGTTTGTCTACGAACATTACCAGGATTGTTATAGATTATTCTGATTTTAGAACAACAAATACCAAGCCGGTTTCAAAAGTTACAGCTGCTTTATTAAACAAGAACCAAAAATGTATAAAAGTAGTACTACAAAAGCCTTTATTTCAAATCATACTTTGCGATCATTTAAGTTTAGTATCATTTAAGTCATTAATGTGACAATATTCTTTTTTTTTCTTTTAGACAGGACTTTCATTATCTAAGTTTAAATCATGTTAACAATATGATTACAAAGGCATGTCTTTATGTTTTATACATTTAACTATTTTACAAACATGTACACTCATTCATAAACTATATTTGTACACATACAAATTCATAACTTCAAGTGTAGGTTATTGTCTATGATCTTTGTTACATGATTTATATTTGATAAACGTTTTTTAATCAAATAATATAAAATAATTACTAATAGAAGTATTTTATTTGAATCATATATATATATATATATAAATTGTTTCATATATATTGTAGCGTTCGTAAGCGATCGTTTCGCTTGATAAGACTCTTATTCATTGTCTGGAATCGTTTAAAGCCCTTTGAACAGTTTGCACTGAAACTGTCTTTTGGACCTTGAACCTTTTGGTTCCCATTGAAGTCCATTATATGACTATATTGCTTGTTTTAGGTTCTCATCCACACGTGACTTTTGGGCGCGGGGTTTAACTGCGTGATAAATATAAGCATGCTCATCGTCTCCAAATCATGACCAGAGACGGATAAATATTAAGTCTGTTGTTTAAAACAAGAACCAATAGATGTGAATTATGCGCGAACAGTGGCATACAGTATTTGTGCAGTGTGCGCATGTCAAAAAATCAATTCCCATTTGAATC